TGGCCTGATGTGCAAATGTTTTATGGTAATTCATGTAATATAATACAAAATATAATAGAAAAAAATTGATATATATAATAATAATATTTTAAGTTAATAAATACTATTGTAAATAATTACAAAAGTATTTTAAAGTACTAAATACTATAATAATTGTATATTAAGTTGATATATTATTATTAATTAATAAATAAACATAAATTTGTTATAATATAATTAAGCAAATTAAATGAATAATTACATTAGTATTATAAAGTACTATTTTAAATTTCATTATGATTTCTTTTTTTTTTTCTGGCAGTTGCAGCTGATAATAATTATAATATAACAATCATATATTAATTTAATAACTTGTGAATAAATACAGTAGTATTATAAAGTACTACTTTACATTTCAGTATGTTTTTATTTTATTTTATCTCCAGCTGCTTGAATATTATGTTGGTTATGTGATTGCATTTCTCTGCTATTTACTTGCCTTTTTTAACCCGTTTTATTACTTATAAATGACTGTTTACTGGAATAATTACTTGAGATTTATTTTCTATCATTTTATTTGGGTTTTGAGACCATTTAATTTTACTGGTATTGGTATGCATTGACAAAATATTGGTATTATGACAGCTCTACTAATGGCGCTTTTCCACTGCACGGTACGGCTCGGTACGGTTCACTTTTGGGGGGTTTTCCACTGGGTACAGTACCTGGTACTTTTTTTAGTACCACCTCGGTTGGGGTTCCAAGCGAACCGTACCGTTACCAAAACGTGACGTGCAAACTCTGCTGATCACGAAACCGAGCCGAGCCGTGCCGTGCCGTACTGAGCCATACCGAGCCGAGTCGTACCACGCAGTGGAAAAGCGCCAATATACATGTGTGTATCTTACCGGGACTTCAACGCCTGTCCTTGCAGCCAGGAGCCATTCCCAGCAGGCAATAGCTGTTTCCATGCCATTCTCAGTGAACATCTTTAATGGAGACCAGCACAGTTGATGCAGCAGCTGAGGATCCCATTCTACACAATAAACACAACATTAAATCAAAACTCAACTGACTTTGTTAATGACTGCCCGTGGTCTTATTGTTCTTCTTATCCTGTTATCTATAAAAACAACAACATACTGTAAAACTGAACTTGATTTGTGGTATATTTCAGTGTTTCATTATGCAATTTGATTCTTTATTGCAATTTGATGGTATGAACATCTACTGTTGGCGTATGGCTTGCAATGTAGTAACATGCCTTTTGAGCTGATCAACAGCGCAGCCATTTTGAACATGGCTTCAGTGAAGGCTTCCGGCTGGCCTCCGTCCAGAGCTTCATTCATCTGACGAATCATCAGTTTATTCAGATCCGACGTGCTCCGTGTGGCCGCAGAGAAATGGATCATCCCTGCCACCTGCATATAAGACACGTGAGGAGTTATGACTCTGAGCTTCTTTCATAAAACACCCAGCAGCCTCAGCTTTATTATTCAGCATTACCTCTCCAGCATAGCGGTTTCTCAGGTTGAGGGAGGCCATGAAGTTGGAGTAGTCTTTCTTCACGCATGTTGGTCTCTCTGTGAGCTGAGTGGTCTGAAACAGGAACATAATATTTAACTACAATAAAAACCATAATTTTTTTTTTTTTACTTGAAATAAAATGAATGTTAACTCTAAAATAAAATACAATTGAAGTAAATTAAACTAAAATAAAATATAAAAAAAATTTAAACAGGCAAATTTTCTCATTTTCATTTAGTTTAACTAGATATACTAAATAAATACTACTAAAACTCAAAATAAAAATGAATAAAAACTATACAGACATATATAAAAAAAAACACAAATAAGCTTTGATCAAAATTAAAATGGAAAAAATAAAATAAAATATAATTCAAAATATTAACAAAACTATTATAGTAGCTCAATAATACCAAAATAACACTGATCTGAAATGACAGAGAACATACTTTTCACAGAATTTCCTGATTGTTTATTATCACTAAGGAACTAGTCAATATATCCCTTCGGCATGAACTAAAGCTCAACACATGTTGGTCATCTTACACCCAGACTGGTGCTCTGACGGTTGTATCCAGCAAAGTGCAGGATGCTCTCAGTGGCCATCGCCAGACCCGTGTGCTGAGACAGACCCGACACCCAGTTCTGATGCTTATTCAGGTACTCCTGTGGAAAACACATCGATGATGTTAAAATCACTGCAGAGGATAATAGTGGTAGTGAATCTAAATATCAGTAGTATTTTGAATGGGAGGCCAAACCTGTAGGTGAGATTTGGTGACCGATGGCGCCCATTTCATGGCCTCTTTTAGGATTTCTCCACAGCGGGCAGCAAAGTCTTTCACTATGCTCTACACATGACATATGAAATCCCAAATCTATCACTAACGCATATGCAATACCATGCTTTTTAATAAGCCAAATTCATATCTATGCTTTTTTAAACTCATTTTATATTCCAGTCAAAAAACCCAAATAGACTGATACATTTTTACAGTAAGTTCAACTAAAAATTAAGCAAAAATAATATATATGAATATATATTTATATTAAACATAAATATATGTATATTTTTGTGTTGTTATATTATGTGTAATAAAAAAATATATATATTTTTTTTAGATAAATTATTTTATATAAATATAATATACATATATAATACAAATATATATTAGTCTAACGTTACTCTCCCAGGATCAGTAAACAGTCCTCCATAAAATGTGCTGGCGATCCACAGCACTAAGTTGATGTATTTCCTCAGCGACCAGCACGGATCAGCTCTAGGCATGACGAAGCGGATATCGTCCTCTTTTGGAAGACCAAACAAAGTAGTTTCGCTTTCACAACGAAAAACACAGTGGCCTAGCGTGAGCGAAAGCCCCGGCTTAGCCTGAGCTGAAGCCGGGCAAGAGTGAGCTGAGGCGGCGGGGTCGAGAAGGGCGGTCCCGGCGAAGGAGCGGTGAAAGCCGATCCGGCGATCCACAGCACTAAGTTGATGTATTCCCTCAGCGACCAGCACAGATCAGCTCTAGGCATGGCGAAGCGGATATCGTCCTCTTTTGGAAGATCAAACAAAGTAGTTTCGCTTTCACAACGAAGCACACAGCGTCTTCACGACATGGCGGCAGCGGCAACAATACTACAGCGAGAATAAAAGTTATGCCTTCTTTCTTTGCGTGAACATTTGGGCGGTGTTATGCAAATCTTCCCACATAGTGAGGTAGATATGTGGGGGCGTGTTCGAACGAGCCGTTTTTGGTAGGTGTGGCTAACTCTTAACTTTTATAAAGAATATCTCTTTGGATTTGAGACTTTAGTCTTTGCAAATTTACAGATCTTCTTTATGCACCAAGAGCTTGTAACACTCCAAAGAGAAAGGAAAAAATGAAATCGCATCATATGACCCCTTTAAGAAATCAATAATGTGTCATAAACATCTCCTGTAACAAAACCCTGAACATCTCCATATGAGGAAACACATATGAACTTGATCTGAGCACTTACAGCGCTGAGTGAAAGAGACAGGGTCTGTAATATATCCAGCATGGTCTTCAGGACACGACCGCTCCACAACAAGTGCGGAAAACTAGACGGAAAAACAAAGAGACACAGCTGCATTGAACATTCAAGAAGAAGAAATACAGTTCTCTACTGTTTGTGAGATAACGGATGGTCAGCTAACCCACACAGAAACATGACAACATATCTACAGAAATCTCTACAGAACACTTTTGAGTTCAGTACGATCTGACATCATTTCCTGTGTTTGTAATGGAGAAGGACCCACGTCTCAGCGAGTCCTGACAGATATTTGTCAGCCACTCTTCGGATTCTCTTGTGAATGTGGTTGAAGTTGACCAACAGGAACTGAGCATGATTTTCTAACTCCTCCTCATGGGCTTTGGTCTTTTCCTAGGAAAAAAGATATATAACATTAGAGGATAACAACAAGTGGCCAAGTCGAGGTGTTAAACCTGTTCGTGTGATTTCTCATTTACCTTGTCAGCCATCATCTGAAGAAAGACATCAAAGACCTTGTCCCCCACCGCAATGACACACTGCATCATTCCTGAGAGGATACGAGGAACACAATCACAGCAAATCATCTATTGATTATATATTTGCTAAACTTGAATCTCAGAACAAGACTCTATAGGTGAATAGGGCAAATAGATATCAAACATTCCCCAAGAGATTAATCACAGTACATTAAGAATTTCAATTTTTTTTGTATTGCAAGTTTTCTAAAATGTTATGTTTAAATACGCAAATGAGGAATCATATAATTTGCATACATTTCCAACATATCAATATGAACATTGGATAAAGCTCGGTTTAAAATTCTTGTTTAATTTTGTTGCTGTATTAGTGTATCAGAATCATAAAATACAGTATTTTCAACAGGCAGAAAAAAAACTAAAACATTTTCACTATGTTTTCAGAAATGTTATATAAATCAGGGGAATGATATATGAACAAGCTACTCTTCAGAATATAGATAGGAATAAAACGTATCGGTAAGTGCTACTGAAAATGAGTCACTTTGAGAAAACAAAATCATAAGTTGTCTTAAATCATCTAGAAACAGATGAATGTTCTAGCCCACCTGATTTATCCTTCTGGATCGCTCGGTCCTCAAAGTATCGAAACATGACTTGGAAACGATCAGAATCCAGTGAGCGTAACACCCTGAGAAGATACAAGAGGTCACGTGACTGTTCAGACTAAGAAGACAGCCGTCTAAAACAGTGTTTCCCAACCTTTTTTTTGTCGCGGCACCCTTTGGAAGTTTTAACAAATTTGTGGCACCCTACAAAATTAATTTTGTCACAATATTTGAATTTCTAACTTCGATGTGATAATTTGAAAAGTATAGATATTCGGTACAACAGGGAAGAACTGCAGAATATAATGTCATACAGATATTTTTAATATTATTAAAAAATGTCCATCAATGGTGGCAATCAGTAGGCTAATTTCTAATGAAAAGACCAATTTATATGACAGATTTTAATGTAGGATTTACAGACGGCACCCCGGTTGGGAAACACTGGTCTAAAACAGTCCCCTGCTCAACAGATCCGGTGTACCTCATGTACTCCAGACGGTAGACAGACAGCAGGTAGGTGGACATGGCGAAGTCCAGTTTATTGATGAGCGCAGCGACTTCCGGCGGAGGATCCAGCAGGTTAATGATGGTGCCTCTCAAATCATTCAGCTCGGCCTAGAAACACAACACATAGCGTTCAATTTACAGGATGAAACTGTGATGCATGTGGAGGCACAATTTTAGCCAAATCATGTCGGAAAAGACTATTCACATTCAGTAATATTATCAATTGTGACCCTGGACCACAAAACCAGTCATAAGGGTCAATTTTTTTAAATTGAGATTTATACATCATCTGAAAGCTGAATAAATAAGCTTTCCATTGATGTATGGTTTGTTAGGATCGGACAATATTTGGCCGAGATACAACTATTTGAAAATCTGGAATCTGAGGGTGCAAAAAAATCTAAATATTGAGAAAATCGCCTTTAAAGCTGTCCAAATGAAGTTCTTAGCAATGCATATTACTAATCAAAAATTAAGTTTTGATATATTTACGGTAAGAAATTTACAAAATATCTTCATGGAACATGATCTTTACTTAATATCCTAATGATTTTTGGCATAAAAGAAAAATTATTATTTTAATAGCATTCAATAATATTTCAATAATTTTGACCCATACAATGTATTTTTGGCTATTGCTACAAATATACCCCAGCGACTTAAGACTGCTTTTGTGCTCCAGGGTCACAATTAGTCTGCACTCACACTATCAGATGAGAAAAACATTTCTGCCAGAGGATTAAAAAAATAAATTTCTTCTCAAAATTCTGACTTTTGTTTCTTGCAATTTTGAGGATTTAACCTCATATAAACTCCCAGGTTTCTCATGTAAACTCAAAACTGAGAAATACGAACTCACAATTCTGAAAAGACAAGTCAGAATTTTGACATTTGACAAACTCACAATTGTGATTAAAAGTCAAAAATATAAGATTTATTCCATAGCGGAACCAAAAAAAAACACAAGAACTCAGAATTTTGAGAAAAAAAGTCACAATTCTGAGTTTGTATCTCAAACTTATGACTTTTTTTCTCAGAAGTGCAAATCTGAATTGTGAGATATAAAGTCGCAGTTACCTTTTTAATTGTTTTATTCCATAACGGAAACAGGTTTCCACCGGACAATGACACTGTTGTCTTCTGTACAGTAGAGCTGCTTTATAGTTGAACTGAGTTTGTTTCATGATTGCTGAAATTATGCTACACTAACACTGTGATTTTCCCGTTTAACATTTTAAAGCTGCTTTGAAATGGTCTGTATAAGGCCTTATATAAATAAATGTGACTTGAATTTACCAAAATGATCTGTCTGATTTGGCAATATTGGAAGCAGAGAACAATCTGACTTTTACTGATTGAGCAGTACCGGAGTGACCGTGTCATTCTTCAGGGCAGAGTTATACTGCAGTTCTGAGCGCAGCGGTTCTCCGCTTGGGAACGTCAGCAGGGGGGATTTGGTTGCGATCTCACACACTCCCTCATACCACTCCTCCGGCCACAAACCTGAACATGAAACATAACAAAATCACTGAGATCAATATTCAGACCCACAAACTGGACGGCTTATGCTAACCTTTTATTTACTATTGAGGTATTTTTAACACAGCATTAAGTAGCAGTATAATTACAGAGCTTCCTTCCTTCCATCATATAGAACTACGATTAGGTATTTTTAACTGGTAACAGTAATAATATATTGCTCAATCTTAAGACAATATATGTTGACTTGTATAAGTGATTTATACATGAGAGTTATCTGACCTGAGCCCTCGACAGCGAAGCCCATCACAACCGAATACAGCCAGAAATCTCTAAACAGCTTCTGCAGTCTCGGTTTGGCCTCTTTTATGGGCGGCAAACGTTTGGTCAGCTGTAAGATAAAAAAAAGGAGTGAACAGCATGACACAATCAGGTTTTAACCAAAATGATTATATGTGCAGAGTAAAACAAAGTAAAATGAAGCGTGTTAATTTTTTTAAAAGGCAGCAACATAACAGCCGATTTTGTGAAATTAACTCAAGCAAGCATTAAAAAAAAGTGCAAATCTGGGTTTCGTTTAATTGAATAAAAATACAGTAAAATAAGTCATACTGTGAAATATTATTTTCTATTATAATATATTTTTAAATGTAATTTATTCCTGTGATGACAAAGCTGAATTTTTGGCAGCCATAAACAAAAAAAATTTATTATTATTATTAGTAACAGGAGTTAATTACATTTAACAATATATTAAAATAGAAAACAGTTATTTTCAATTGTAATAATATTTCATTATATTAAAGCCTTGGTAAGTGAAATAAATGAAAAATAATACAAAATAATAGAATAATAAAATGAAAAAATTTGTGGGGTATGTTGTGTTAATTTTTAACATACTTGGCAAACAAAACAGATTTACTCAAGTAACCTTTTTTCATCAGTTAAATTTATATAGATTTATGGTTCAATAAAACTGCTGGTTAAAAACAGCAACTATTAAATATAAATTCATTTTTATTCATCTAAATAATAACTAATTATTCATTTCAAAATCATGAACCAAATTTTGATGCCAAAGATGACTTTTAATTAATTTTCAGTAATCTAATTTGACAATAAATTTTTTGCAGCCTACTTGAGGAGACTTTATGAATAATATATATACTGTGTGTGTATATATATATATATATATATATATATATAAAACTTGTATTTGTTCCCCACTAAATACTGTTGTTTCTCTAAA